GGAAGAGAAGAAGGAGAGGAAGAAGGGAGAGGGGAAAGAGGAAGTATGGGTTTGTTGCTGAATCGATTATCCATTTTAATGGACGGATATCGATTATTGACGTAGTAAAGGACATGAGTAAGAAGGGAGGGGAGCAGCGCATTGTTACCAAGGGAGGGAATGTGTGGATTGATAGATGGGGCGCAGTGAGAAGCAAGATTGGTCTGACTACGGTAATAGTTGAAGGTAGGGAGGAGCTGGTCAAAGATTGCAAGGAAATCTTCGAAGGAGGCGGTGAGTTCCCAGTAGCGACGATCAGAGTGATACCCACTAGCGTGGAACACAGGCGGAACATCCTGAGGGAACTACAGAGGAATCCGGGAATGATCAAAGGGTTCTACCGGAGGAACTCGTGAGAACTAGTAGCCTTGTATAGGACGTGTGCGTTTTTTGGTGACAAGAAAGTACGGAACCGTTTGAAGACCTCGATCACAAGGGTAGTGAGGGTGAAATATGGGGTTGAGATTAGGAGGAAGCCGTGCGTCAAAGTGCCATTCTCACCAGATGTCCGGATGGGTGAAGTAAGGACAGTAGCGACCGAAGTCGTGGAAAGATCAGTGAGTGATCCGTATCTGCGCCAATTTATAGCATCGAAGGTAAGAGTGGTAACTAAGAAGAGGAGGACTGTCAGTGGCGTCATCCATAACCACTGGACTTTCGCTGAGATGAAGGAGGCACGGTGCTGCTGCAAGATACCAGGACTACAGAGGAGTAACGGTCACCTGAAAATACGAATCGACCAAGTATGTGGGCTGATGAGCTTCGTCATGAATGCTAGAAATGTGACCACCGGGTATGTGGTGTCGGAGGGAATGTTGGAAGGGTGCATTAAGGAGGGAGTTCGTGCATGGACAAGAAGGAAACAAGTTCGGATCGGAGGGGCTGAGATACAGAAATGCTATATGAGAGGACGAAGCAATCAATCCAAGGCAATGACGGTAAGGGAGGTGCAGGACTCGATGAGACCCTACGCAGAGTTGGTCGCAGTGCCGATTGATCGGAACCCAGGATTGACACTACTTCTTTGTCCACAGTTGTATAATGAGGCGTGCAGGGTTACGTTCAATCGGAACCCGAGCTTTAGTCTGATCAGACAAAGCGAGGAGCATGTATTAAGAGAGATGAGAGGAGAATTCGACCGTAGGGGTTCGGGCCGAATAGCCAGGTGGCAGACAGGGGGGAGAATCAGACAGGCATACGTTCTGCCTAAGGACAAGGACTTAGATCGGTGGAGGCCGATTTCGCCAGCCACCGATGATCCGACAAGGTTGGCAGGAGCGAGAGTAGGGAGAACTATTCGGTATATGCTTTTTGGACTCAGTCAGGGTTCACACTTTGATCTGAAAGCCACCGATGAGTTGAAGGAGAGGGTGGAAAGGATCGAGAAAGAATTAGGGGAGGCAGCAGATGGAGCGCTTGCTGCCAGCTATGACATTAAGGACCGCAAGACTATCACACAACAGCGTAATGGCGGCAGTAGAATGGATCACTCAGCTAAGTGCGGTGAAGGGATTCAAAGGTTTGAGCGTGTGTCTCAGAGGTAAGATCTGTACGATGATGAGAGTGGACCGCAGGAGGGAAGGTTTCATTAATCTTTCGTTTGCAGAGATCAGGTCAATAATCCTGTTTGAATTGGAGAACACATACGTGAAGTGTGCAGGGAGTGTGCTGAAGCAGGAGTTCGGTATACCCATGGGGAGGAATTTAAGTCCTGCTCTGGCATGCCTAGTATGTGTCAAAGCCGAGTCAGCTTTCGTGAACTCCTTGGGGGCGAGCCGTGCATTGGTGAGGGGGATTCGAATGATCGACGACGTGACAGTTGTAGTAGCATACCATTTGGGCGACACTGAATCCGACCGAGCAGCACATGAGATTATGGAGGTTTTCGAATCCTGCTATGACAGGAGTCTGACGTTGGTACAGAAGGACGAAGGATCGAACGTGTTTGATTTTCTGCGTACCAGGATGTTTGTACTCGTAGATCCGATCAGGATTCTGGTTCATCCGAAGACTCGAAATCAGGTGTCTTTGAGGCAAGGATTGGGTTTAAGAGTACAGTCCATGCAGGACTACGCCTCATTCTCGAAGAAATCAGCAAAGAAAGCAGCCATCTTTGCATCGTTGGTGAGACTTCAGAGGATGTCGAACTCCGATGAAGCTACGAAAGCTGCTATTGCAGCCCTGATTATGGAAACGCGCCTCCCGGGATACCCCCCTGAGGTCTCTCTGGGAGCACTGGCAAAGTTTGCCAGGTTGTCCGGAGGTCTGTGGGGGGTTTACCTCTCCACTGAATACCCCGGACTGAACGATATCATGAACCGCTTTTCAAAATAGAGGGAACTCAGCCCAGGTGGCATGAATGATGATATGTGGTGTTTTTAATTTTATTTAATTTAATTTAATTTTATTTTATTTTTTCCGTCGGTTGTCTGGACCGGGTGGGACCCGGCGAGGAGATCAGACCCGGTTTTTTGTAATCGAATCTATGTCGGAGAACTAGTAAACAACCGGAGTTCGCGCGGTTTTTCTTTTTTCTTTTTTCTTTTTTTGGGTTTTTGTAATCGAATTTATGTCGGGAGAGCTAGCAAACGACCGAAGTTCGCGCGGTGTTTTCTTTTTTGGGTGGCTTCTTGGAGTTGCGCGGTTTTTTTGGCTGTTGTTTACGGCGCATAGGAGAGACGAGGTGTACGCGTCGGCTGGCACGGGATATCTTTAGTATGTGCAGAAGGGAGAAGAGTCGAAGGTAAAGGAGAGATGCAGAGACAAGGAGGGTTTGGGTTGCATAGACCGGTGGCATCGGCAGGAGGAGATGAAGAATCAAAGAAGTATGCTAATGGGGTAAAGGAAGACAAGGAAGGACTAATATTTGGAGGAATGGGGTAGGTAGATTTGTGGCGGCCGAGGAAGGGAAGCGGGGGAAGGATCCAGGTACGTGTACCATAGTAAGACGAGCGGTATAGAGGAAGTAGAACTCAGGAGTGATCATCGTGGGAGAATAGGAAGTAGGACGTGACCGGAGGAGGGAAGGACGAAGCACGTGTCCCGGTATAAATAGGACAAGGTATAAGCGTTAGACATCTCGATGTGCAGGCCTCCTGATGAGTCTGCTGAGTACGCCAGCAGCGAAACGCGTAGGGGCGAYGCGTACAGAGCTTGATTGTTGTATCTTCATGATGATCTGAGAGTTTTTCGAGGTCGAGTTCTTGGTTCGAAGTGTACTTACTCGCGTGCTGCTTCACGTCTGCATCTTCATCTTCATCTTCATCTCTCTCTCTCTCTCTCTCTCTCTCTCTCTCTCTCTCTCTCTCTCTCTCTCTCTCTTCTCCCTCCTTCCTCCTCTTTATCATCTTCTTCTTCTTTGAATCTGAGAGTGTGAGAGGTTATCAGTAGGGATTCAGGCTGAGGTTCTAACAGGCACATTGCCCAGGATCTGATTCGACATTCGGCAAGAGACTATTTTGGACTTCGCCATTGGGGTCTTGGTCTACTCTCTCGCCTCCTCCCTCCTTCGTTTGTCTCTCTCCCCCATCTCTCATCCGTGGTTTCTCCCCATGTGTGTGTACGAAGGAGGGACCTTTCTTCCATGATTGCAGTCCCTCCTCTCCCTCTCATGTGCGATGTGGGATGGATGTCGGGTCAGTCCAGATCCGATCAGATCTTCTTTTTAAACCTTCCGCTGTGCCATTTTGTGCCATCTGTATGTATTCCAAATGTACATTGCTTGTTGATGCTACGCTGACCTTGCATTGCCCATTTCAGTCCTTTTCATCACATAGCGGATCCTTGGCTCCCTGCGCATTGTCCCACTGGACATGCGTCAGTTTGGTATCGGAGCTACGCGTGTGAATTAGGACGACCTGATCTGACGCGAGCGCGGGACAACCCAAGATCGATTGGGTAAGTCACGATCGATCAATCGATTGATTGATCTCGGATTGGTTAATCGATGAGGATTGATTGATTGATTGATTGATTGATTGATTGATCGTTGATTGATTGATTAGGTTACACTAATTAGTCCCCAAAATCGCAGATTCCGAGCTAAAATCAAAAAAAATTCTTCTCTTTGGATTTCGTTTTCCCGCTATTTTTTTTCTTGTGCTAAATCGCAATAGCAGGGCATCTGAGAGTTTCGTTTTTCTTTTGAAACCTGAAACTTCGTTGTTGGAGATCCAAAAGACTGAAACTAATTTCGCGAATTTTTTTGAATCCATCATTTCAAATTTTTTTCTTGTTTCTGAAATTCGAAATTTCACGGCAGAAAAGTCCGGATTTTTTTTTTAAAGTTTCGATTTTATACCGTTACGGAAATTCCCGTTATTCCGAATTTTTTTTTTAATTCGTTTTTCAATCCATTCTGAAATTCGTTTTTCATTTCTGAAATTATCTCTGAAATTCGTTTTTCACTTTCTGAAATTCGTTTTTCACTTCCAAAATTATATCTGAAATTCGTTTTTCACTTTCTGAAACTCGTTTTTCACTTCTAAAATTATTTCTGAAATTCGTTTTTTTTTCAATTCAGAATTTTTTTCTGAAATTCGTTTTTCAATTTCGAAAATTTTCTGAAAATTCGTTTCTCAATTTCGAAAATTCCGATTTTTTTTTCTGAAATTCGTTTTTATTTTCGGGAATTCCTCTTGCAAGCGTTCGTTTTCAAACGGCGCATACTCTCACCTACGATATTCCAAATATTTTTTTCTGTTCTCAGAATTTTCTGGACTTGCGGGAACCTATATTTTTTTTCTCTGTTTTCGCAGTCCTGTATCTCCATTTGACATTGTTATGCATTCGGCAGTGTGAAATTCGAAATTTGTGGCTCTAACTGCTGAGGGGATATCTGGGGGGCCTACCGAACTTGCAAATTCGATTTTTTTTTTTTTTTTTTTCTCGAAATTGTTGCAAGTTCCCAAAAAAAAAACTTTTAGTAGTGGCTCCATATGTGGGCGGCCATCCGATTGCCCACTCCCCTTCTCTCCACCCCACCCCTTCATCCCTTCTCCGTCCTTCTTAACTGCCCATTCCCTGTCAGTTGCAGACCAGGTAAGTCCTCGCTTCAGCAGGCCACGTCAGGGACCCGTAGTGCATGACCATACTTACTCGCTCGCAGACAGCAGCGATGGATCAGAAAGCAGGCGAGATTGACGAGGCCTACGAGGCACGGCTGGCGGCCATCATGGCCGAAACCAAGCAGCGGGCAGACGCAGCGGCAGCAGCACGGAAGAAGCGGGAGGTAGAGGCAGAGAAACAACGTCTTCTGGCTGAAGAACAGCGGCAGAAGCACGCGGCAGCAACAGCCAAGGCAGCTGATGAAGAACGTGTGTGGCGACGCGAGACCATATTCAGAGAGGAGAATGCACTTCACGCACAGGCCAAGGATTGGCAGAGGGAGGCCGAGAGCGGCGAATCCGTCGACTACGGGAGCAAGGTATCTCATCTGCTCAACCGTGTCACGGACCTCCTCGCGACTTGCATCGCGCAGCAGGAGGATATCTACTCTGTTGACCACACCAACAAGGCGTTACAGCAGTCTTTGGACCAGATGCTCAAGCGCATTCAGCAGCAAGAGCAACAGGTCGCTAACGCCAATGCCAGCGCCGACCCCTCCGACCTCGCCGACCTCGTCAACGTCTTGGAGATAGACGTGGGGACACTCAGGGCCGGGGCGCAACAGCACGTTTGCGCCGCAGCCAGCTCCAGCACGACGCCACGCGAGACCATTGTCAAGTTTGACGGGGTCCCGATCTTCTGTGACGCATCGAAGACGGACCCCATACAATGGTGGCGCCAGTTCGACCTCAAACTGGACCTCCACCACGTCGTCAACGAGAACCGGCACACCTATTTGTACTCCCGCTCGGGAGGCGCGTGTCAATCATGGTTGGACAATATGTTGTTCGCACACGCATGTACAGCCACGGAAGTACATAAGTACATCACCTAGGCGGATCTCACGGCGGCATGGAAGCAGCGTTTCCAAGTGGAACCGCCGGAACACTGGGCGATGGACAAGTTGTTGACATTCACGCAACACAACATGCCAAGCGGCGACTGGATATCTGAGTTCCAACGCCTGGCAAGCACGCCCAAGCTGCCGCTGAATTTCGACGGCATCAAGCTTTACTTCATCAAGAGGTCGTGCCCAGCGCTGCAGAATGCGTTGACTCATGTCGCCGAGACCCTCACCACAAGTGAGGAACTCTTCAACAAGGCCGCGCAGATCATTGTGACGAATTTAGCAGCCCGGAATACGGGCCATTCGTCCAATGCCGGCCAGGGCGCGAATCAGCATCGGCCGAAAGTGGCCGTGGTCGCAGCAGCAACGCCTAGCGACCCTTCAACTTCAAACGAGGCCGCGACGTCTAACGAGGGAGACAGACTCGCCGCTGCCCAGAATGGTGGCCGCCCCGCCAAAGGACGAGGACGCGGCAAAACGAAGACAACCACGACTACTTCTTCTGGGCCTGCACAAGCAGCTCTAGCTCAAGGACCTTGGAAAGAGTATGGTCTGACGGAGCACAGGTATCGCGTCCGCACCAAGTACCGTTATTGTTTGTGGTGCAATTGCGTGGCCCATGAGACCACGAACTGCCCCACGAAAGCCAATGGCCCCGCTCAGTCGGGAAAGTGAGCACCGCCGAGAGTGACGAGACGACACTCTCGACGCCTTCGGAACCGGTTACCGTGCGAGTAACCTCCCTCGGTTCCGGGGCACATGCGGACGTCGTAAGTCCTCCCATTCTCCATTTTTTCGAGGACTATGCTGCCCGGCTCGTACCTTCGCTGAATTCACGAGCCCAAGGACAGGATGTATGTGCGGTTTCTTCTCCGATCGGAAGCAGCGACATTGATTCGTCTTCAAGTGAACCTTCACAGGATTCGGCGCACGCGTTCAGCATTGAGGACTTGGACCCGTTGGCGCCCGAGGATCTTGCATGGCTTCCTCTCCCTTCCACCGGCTGCTTACCGGAGCCGCAATGCGCAACTCTTAGCGCTCATCTCCATACATACCTAGCCTTCTATGCACCACCAACTTCGTCGACGGAGGACGAGGTCGCGGTGGGGGACATTCTTGCGTATGTGAGCAAGGTGGCCCGCGAGTTTCGCACGCAGCGGTACGACGACAACAACGCACCGCTCCTTTATGTCCGCATCCAAATCGGGCAAGCGTCCTGCAACGCTTTGCTGGATAGCGGCGCGACTCGCAACTTTATTAGCCAGTCCTTCATGCAAAGGGTCGGCCTTGGACCACAAGTTCGAAGGAAGGCACACCCTACGACGATCAAGTTGGCGGACGGTCGAACGCAACAACTCCTTGATTACTACATCGAAGCCGTCCCGGTTTATTTCGCACCTCATGCATGCGAACCGGTGACGTTCGACGTCTTGGACACGGACTTCGACATCATTTTGGGCATGCCTTGGCTTGCAAGTGCGGATCACACGGTCAACTTCCACCGACGGACGCTTACAGTTCGCGACGCGTTCGGCGCCAAAGTATCATGTACTATTCCTCCTCCGCACCCTTCGATCCGGTGCCAAGTTGTAACAGCCAAGTCTTTTCGGGCCACTTGTGCTTATGAGCGGACCGAAGAGATCGACTTATGTTTTCTTCGAACCATCGCGGTAGCCGACTCTCCACGTACAGACTTGTCTTCAGACCCCCGGGTGGTGCGGTTGCTCGACGAATTCGCCGACGTCTTCGAGTCACCTACCGGCATGGTGCCGGATCGGCCAATCTCTCACGAGGTCATTCTCGAGGCCAATGCCGTGCCGCCAAAATGTTGCATTTACCGCATGAGCGAGGAGGAACTTACAGTACTCCGCGCGAAGCTCGACGACCTGTTGGACAAAGGTTGGATCCGGCCTAGCAGCTCACCCTATGGTGCACCGGTTCTCTTCGTTCGGAAGAAGAACAAGGACCTTCGCCTATGCATCGATTCCCCACAAGCTCAATGCGCAAACCGTCAAGAGCGAGGGACCTCTTCCTCGTATTGACGACCTTCTGGAGCGCTTGGGCGGTGCAAAATTCTTTTCTAAGCTGGATTTGAAGTCAGGATATCATCAGATCTCGATTTGACCGCAAGATTGCTACAAGACCGCGTTCAAGACACGATACAGGCACTTCGAGTGGGTTGTTATGCCTTTTGGACTCACCAACGCCCCGACGACTTTTTAAGCGGCGATGACCAATGAGTTCCGAGCAATGTTGGACCGGTTCGTGCTGGTCTACTTGGACGACATCCTCGTCTATAGCCGGACCTTGGAGGAACATCTTGACCATCTTCGACGAGTGTTGGAGACACTCCGGGGCGCCAAGTTCAAAGCCAACCGCGACAAGTGCGAGTTCGTGCGTCAAGAGTTGGAATACTTGGGCCACTTCGTCACTCCACAAGGCATCAGTCCGTTGTTGGACAAGATTCAAGCCGTCCAAGATTGGCCGGAGCCGCGGAACGTCACGGATGTCCGATCATTCCTTGGCCTCGCCGGCTACTACCAACGTTTCATCAAGGGGTACTCGAAGATCGCAGCCCACTTAACCAAGCTTCAATGCGAGGACCGACCGTTTGACTTTGGGACGGACGCGCGTGAATCGTTCTTGGCCCTCAAGGCCGCATTACTTTCCGTGGAGGTATAGCGGATATACGACCCGCTATTGCCAACGCGCGTCACCACGGATGCATCCGGCTATGGCATTGGTGCCGTCCTCGAGCAACATGACGGCGTGGACTGGCACCCGGTCGAATACTTCAGCAAGAAAGTGTCGGTCGTGCACTCCATCGACGATGCACGCAAGAAGGAACTTCTCGCCTTTGTCCACGCACTCAAGCGGTGGCGGCACTTCCTCCTCGGCCGACGCCAATTCCGATGGGTAACGGACAACAATCCGTTGGTCTTCTACAAGTCTCAAGACACCATCAACAGCACCATCGCCCGTTGGATGACCTTCATCGACCAATTCGACTTCTTTCCCGATCACATTCCGGGGAAGTCGAACCGCTTTGCGGATGCCCTTTCACGGCGTCCGGACCACTGCACCGTGGTCTACTCAACCTTCGAGATCGAGGATGACTTGCGGGACAACTTCATCCGCGGCTATCAAGCCGACCCCGATTTTCGCGACAAGTACACAAATTGTTCCTCTCCCAATCCGGCGCCTTCGCACTATCGGATCCAAGAGGGATACTTGCTTCTTCACTCGCGGGGGAAGGATCTCCTTCGCGTGCCGCAAGATTCCCACTTGCGCACCCGGCTTCTTGGCGAGTTCCACGACGCCCCCGCAACCGGACACTTTGGAGTCAATCGCACGATTGGCCGACTACGCGAGTGCTTTTGGTGGCCCGGCCTCCTCGACGACGTCACGCGCTATTGCGAGTCATGCGAAGTTTGCCGACATTGCAAACCTCGCAATCATCGTCCGTATGGCGAACTGCGACCATTACCAGTCCCCTTGCGCCGAAGGGAAGCGATTGCCATGGATATCACCGGACCGTTCCCCAAGCACAAGACGGGCGTCGATGGGATTCTCACGGTGGTTGACCGCCTCACCAAGTTTGCCATGTTCTTGCCTTGGCGCTATCACGCCAAGGCACGAGAGTTGGCCGAGGTTCTCTACGCCGGTTGGATTCGAACCAAGGGATACCCCAAGGAAATCGTCTGTGAACGCGACACTCGGTTCATGTCCGATTTCTGGTTGGCGCTCATCAAGCGATGGGGCTCATCCTCAAGCCAAGTTCGGCTCGCCACCCCCAAACCGATGGCCAAATGGAGAGGGCACATCAGACCGCACAGGTCCTTCTTCGAACTCTCATCCGTCCCGACCAAAAGGATTGGGTCGAGCGGCTGCCGGATGTCGAGTTGGCGTACAACTCGTCCATCCATCCGGCTATCGGGATGTCGCCTTTCGAATTCGAGCATGGCTCACCGGTCAACTCTCCGTTGGACACAATCATTCCACGGACGACCGAGAGCGACGACAACCTTCTTTTCATTCGTCGGATGCAAGAGCTTCTTGTCAAGGCACGTGACCAGATGTCGAAGACGCAGCAACGTATGCGCCAACAGGCCAACCGCCAGCGTCTTCCTTGTCCGTTCCGTGCCGGCGACCTCGTATGGGTTTCCGCTGCGGAATTCAGCCTCGAACAAGATATCTCTCACAAGCTCCTTCCGAAATGGATGGGGCCCTGGCCGATCGTGGCACCCGCCGGAGACGCACTCGAATTCCCTTCATTTATCATTCAGGTGCCCAGCCACTTGTCCGTCAACCCGGTTTTTCACTGTTCCAAGTTGGCTCTCTACACGCCAACAGAACTTGATGACTTCCCCGGGCGACGATTGCAAGACCCGCCCTCAATGGACAGCCTCCAAGAGATCGGCAACATCATATCCCACCGACGGCATGGCAACAAGCCAACCAAGTTCTTGGTTCACGTTGCATACTGCACCCATAGAGCTGACCGATGGCTGACCCGTGCGGAACTTCAAGCAACAGCTCCCGACGCTCTCGCACGCTACGAGCAAAAGTTGAAGGACAAGCCGGCATCTTCGGCTCCACGCCGCACCCGTGTCCAACTACCACCTTCAGATCGTCAGCTTCGCCCCCAACCGGCTTGACTTCATAAGGAGGGGGTGGTGTTGCATGCTGCGCCTGCACACGGGCCCCATTTGAGGGGCCCAACGGTTGCTGAGGGGCCCCCAGGCCGCATACCATCCAGCACGCGCCCTGGAGGCCCACGATGGCCCTCCAGGCCCTAGGCAGCACACTAGGTAGATAGGCTGTAGTTTTACTTACCGTTTTTTTGGTGTGTTTGTGCTGTCTTATTTTGTCTGTTCAGGTGCCGTTTCGGACTTGCAGCCCCAAGGCCGGACCTTGGGACTGGGTACACCGGAGGCAGGCCCGAAACGAGGCCAGGCGCATTTTGGCGCCAAACCTACCGGCATCGTTTCGGTCCTGCAGGACCCAAGACAACACCTTGGGCCAGGTGCAGCGGTAGAAGGCCGTTTTTAGGCCAGGCGCATTTCTGCGCCATGCTGCACCAGCAGCAAAGGTCTGGACATCCGGTAGGGACCCAGACCACCTGGGCCGTTTTAGGCCACACAGCACCAGGTAGGCCCAGCCGCCCAGCGCTACAAATAGCTGGGCAGCGGCTGGGCCCAAGACAGTTCGAGTAGCTCACTTCTGAGCGACATGCTGCTGGTTGGAGGCTGCGCCATGCTGCGCTGGGTAGAGGAGTAGGGAGTAGAGGTTAGAGGAGATAGGGAGTGGCGGAGGCCATACCTGAAGCCAGCGAGCTTACCTGGCGCCATAGCTGGGCTCCACGCGGTACCTGCACACAGCAACGGACGAAGTCAGTTCAGTGACAGCTACCTGCAGGTGAGATAGCGAGGAGGGCTTCATCTTCCTCTCTCTCTCTCTCTCTCTCTCTCCCTCTCTCTCTCTCTCTCTCTCTC